GCCAGTATAGAGCAAGAACCTCTCCGCCGCACTTTGGGGGCCGCGGCCCATAGGCATCCGGGAAGTGGAAGATGGCCGCATCCTGCGGCATCACAGCAAGTGAACACAAATAAGCATCTGGCAAACTGTAAGGACTATTGCACACAACATCCGAAAACTGCAACTTTGGGTTCACCACAGCTAGATTCTTTGCCCCGCCTGACAGGAGGGGAATGCGTATAAGGGAACGTGCAAGTCAAGCCGGTTATTTGAGTGGCCCACTCTCCACTTCCATGCGTTCGGGTGCTTTTACCGGTCAAAACGGGCAACTAACATGACTGCCAAGGGCGCCGTCATCAACGGTCCGGTCTGGCCGCTTTTTGCCTTTGCCTTTACGGATGCCATGATTGGGAACTGGCTTCCAGCAAGCATCTTGGGAAAACTGCGGTGTGTCCGAAAATTAACACCATATACCCCTTCCGAATGTCTCTTGGCATTGGTTCTTGTGGCTGTTTATTGACATCCTCCTCCACTGCCACACTCAGATGTTTTTTCCAACTCAAGCGTCCGTGGTGTCGCGCCTTCATGCCGGCCTCCTTGACGGCATTCAGCAAAGGCGCCAATCTCAGAGCCCCAAGCACTCCCCCCCGAAGCGAATCCCCAAGTCAAACCGCAGGGACGGCTCTGAAACGCACACAGGAGCATGTTTAAAACATATGCCACTCTACACCCATGTCCTTCGACCCCTCTTCCACCCAAATGTTTGGATCGCACTTCCCCCATCGTCCTCCCCACCTGCGTCGCACGGCTCCGCACGGCTCCGCACGGGCTCCCCGCAACTTCTCGCCGTCCTTGGGTGAGAAGCCGCCCGAATACCAGGCCTCGGGTGGACCAAGCTCCGCTCGTGCACGGCAGTCAGTCTGTGAGCCGAAAGAATATGCCGAAGGTATGGAATCATGTGCTGAGTTTTTGGAACATGTGGGCTTTCACAATGATACCTGAATCCGGGGGCATCTATCAGTCTATCTTACCGTTGATATCCTTTAATTAGGTACTTCCTTTTCTGTTGCATTTGATCCACTCTCTGACCCTCTAACCTGCTCAAAGCTCTATTTCGGTTCCATGCTCTTTGTGCTATACCGGGGCTCCACCAATCCAAGAGCTCACTCGGCTTTGGTTCTATACTGTACTGTGGCACGGAAACTCATCCAAGAAACAGCTCCGGCCGCAACTTCTCAATCAAACCAAATGCTACTATGGAGACACATGGGAGGCTCAATCACTAGCACCGCCTCAGGCCCCCGAGCACAAAAGAAGGGCACTTGACCTCGGCATTCAAGGGATTTGCAAAGGCACTGATGCGAGAGCTGGTGACCTTTCTCAAACAGTCGGACCTGATTGTTGCTTAAAAGCCTGTGAGCTATCCCAACTAATATCAGCCAATTAGATCCAATTAGGCAAATCACTTGCACTTTGTTTGCTCTGGTCAGTGGTTCAAGCTTCAACCACAATCTTTCAATCCAGGCTCCAGGGCTTGTGGTATCGTCGGCAGCCTCCTTGCTAGATCTTGCTTGTTGGGATGGTTCAATCAGAAAAAACCTGTCAATTGATTAAGCAGACCTGAACATGTAAGTTTAGATAGTTTAGACAGAGTCTCCTACAGTGGGATCGGTAGGATGCGGACTCCTTCTGTTGGAACCAGGTCAACCGCGCGCGGCTCTTCCCGCGCTTGATCCGAAGACACGCGGAGGCTGGTCGATCCGGGTCCCCTACGCAAAACATCGCAACAACATTAACAGTGAAAAAAACAACAACCGCGCGGGCACTCCTTGACGATGCAATGCAACCTCAAGAGCAGTGCAAAGCAAGGACACCCATTGTTCATTGACGTCACTGTGGATGGTGACCTGCCACGGTGAATCTAACTTTAACTGCACTAGGCTAGAAATAGAACCTTCAAGGAATGGTCAAAACCTGACACCGCTGGTCAGCGCCGTTCCCGCACTTGGAATGCAAAATCACTACTATAATCCAGCTTTCTGCCTGCAAAGCGGGGCGCCAAACCAGCTAGCGCTTCTTGAGGTTCTGACAGGTCCGTCTGGTCTAATTTGATGTTCACCTTGGCCCAGCTGATGCAGAAGGGACTGGGCAACGGGGCCCTCTGAGACGTTCAAGACGTTCAACCTTTCATTGCACGTTTTCATCACCACATGCCTCAATCAACATCCGGGAAAAACTCATGGTCCTGCCACTGGTTCACACCTGCGAATGAAGCCAGGCCCCTGTCAGGATTGTGCCATGCCGGACTCAACCACCCAAATGTGTGTGCTCCGCCGCAGGATTGGTCGTGGTGATGGGCTTGCCAGGCAGAGACTGGGGACCAGGCCCAACCACTCTCTGGCCCATTTCCGGCCAGAAGCTTGTAGCGCAAACACCTACAATTGACACCGACACGGCTGTCACAAGGAGACCCCTGATCACCCAGTCACTTGTGGGGCTAAAGCCCTTCGACAAAAGGCAACAACGATGACACTATTTGCACTTGTGAGGTTCGATCTTTAACGTCAGACTAGTGCTACTGAATTGCAAACCCTCAACCAAATATCACAAAAGGCACTACTGCTCCAAACTACTGCTCCAAAGATCAACATAGGCAGAAGAACCACACATCTGCTCATGTAATTTGGTAACTTCTTTGCCCTTGCAGTGGTCATCTGGGCTTCACGTAGCAAAGGCCCTGAACAAGGGTGCAGCTCTAGAAGCCATGAATGTGGCCATGAGGCTCATCTACCAACTCCAACTCCTCCACGAAGGCATCTCTGGAGAGCTTTCCATCCTTAAATCACGTATGTGTGAAGAAGTGGAACTTATATAATATATATATATAACTAAAATATGGCTATGTACACAATTACTTTGTTGCAACTTCCACATGCCTTCTGGATTCTTGAGGCCGGCAGTTGTTGCGAATCGGCATCTGTTTTAGGTACGACTCCTCACTCTGGCCATGGTTGTGCAAATCTGGCACGTTCTGGCACAATATGCCTTTCAACCAGTGTGTCACACATCAAGTGGTGAGCAATGACCGAACAGTGCGAATCACGTCAACGAAAACAACCAGCTGCAACTGCAAGCAAATCCATGATGATCTTGAGGGGTCAACAGTATATTTAGTCTGGTAGCTTCCCAGTCAAAGGACGTGCACTTCATGCTATTGACAATGCCCCCTTCCCGTCCCTACCACAAGTAACATATCAATTGCAACTCCGAGAAGGAAATCCCTCTGGGTGCACCATGGGGATGAGCAGGAAGGCAAGTGGTTGGCCCGTGCCTTGCTCCAAACGTGGCATGTGTTCAATGTGGTAGCAAGAACGGGCCGAAAAAACGGAACTTCAAACAGCCGGTCCCTGTACCAGCAGGTCACATGCACATCAGATCACATCAGTACCTGGAAACAGCAAGAAGTCGCAAAAATACATCCACCGGTCTTCAACACATCCACCTAAGAAGTGTGGGACGCGGGCTTCAAGGCGCCATCTCCCCGGTCTTCCCCAGCTCGGATGGAGCCGAGCATCCAATTCTTTGCTCTCCAGCTGTGGGCCTTCACGTGCCACGACACCACCTCATCGCTGCGCATCGTTTACGAGTGCTTTCTTCGATATGTTCGATTAGACTTGTGATGCTCAGAGGTCTGGCAGTGTCATTCTATGGCTGCAGGTTTTTAGCGGTAAATTTGTTTTGTTTTTTTAGTGGGATGTTTTATTTTATGGGGGTTTGAGTCTTCTGATTCTGTTGCTTTAGACAGTTTCTTATTAGGTCTACTGTGTTTTTACGTGCTCTATTGGGTTTTCGAGCTAAGTGATCCCTCTACGTGCTGGTGGCCCATAGCATCCACCTTTGTTAAGTCGACTGTTCGCGGGAGGCCCAGGGTCAGATCGGAGCGTTTTGCTTCGATGTGCAGCAAAGCCTTTGAAGTGCAATTTCTATATTTATGTTACTCAAGTTTTAAAACATATTCTATTCAATATTATATGTTCCAAAGGCTCCAAAGTACTGAGATGGCAAAAGCACCTACAAAAACCCACAACGGTGGACGCTAAGGGCCACCTTCCTTCCTTCCTTCCTTCCTTCCAGAGCCCTTAAAAGAAAAAAAAATATCCCACGGAAATATGCTCTCCTCATTCTATCGTTCAAGCCGTATCACGCTTGGAGGACTGTGGACCTCGCAGCTGGACCCGCGAGAAAACACATTTCAACTGAACAGATGGGCACAGAAATTTCGATTGGCTCCAAATCCACGCAAGGTCGAGTAACAACCATCCGACCGCCCCTAAAATCATCCCCTTACAGTAACTGCAGGGGTGTTAGTGGCCCTCCATAAAGACCAAAGACCTCAAGTTGACAAGACCAGGAGTCGGCCGGGGATTTCGCGGATGCCTCCAGCAATGACCTGCCAAATGGGGCTCATGGCCGCCCGCTTTCAAAAGGCACCGATGGAAGCTGTGGTGATGTCGGAGTGGGCGAAACTCATCAATCTCCAGGGGCCAACAAGTGAGCTACGGCCCTGCGCGGCCGTTTCAACAGAAGGTCGGGTTGCTCAGGGTGGTTACTGTAGATGTGATTAGTTTGTCCATCTTTACGGTATTCATGACGCATGAATGTGGACAAATGTGGATGGGAAGATCCTGGCACCATGGGCATGACATACTGCATGGCTGCATGACATATACAGTAAGTCCTGGACATGGAATGTGGCACAGGCTTTCAACATCTTTCAACCATTCGCAAAGTATGAGGCTTCCGGCTCCAAGCCTAGGGCCTAGGAAAATTGGATCCAAGATCCTGTCGTCCTCTCATTTTTTCTCCGAGTCTCTCAGCAAAATAATTCGACACTTTTAAGTAGCCTCTCTGAGATGCAAGCATCACGGCCGTTGCTCAATCTGCCATCGCTAAATTCCTGTCAAAGGCGCGCCACTTCCAAGTGACCATTCTCAGCTGCAACCGTCAAGAGGGTTGCCCCTTCATTCACTATTTGCGGAAAGCTCCAGCCTTGACAAACATCCGGACAACTTCCGAATGTCCTTGTTCAGGCAGCAATCAATCCTCGTGCTGTGGCTTCGTCGTGATGGGTTGGACTCCACAAAAGCAGCACCACTTCCATGTGGCGATGCTGAACTGCAAGCCACAAAACTGCTTCCCGCTTCCCCATCTTCCTTTGAAGCCTTGTCAGGCCGTGCGTTCAGCAAGAATCGCACCACATACAAGCAGCCAAGCTGCAGCCCGCAGCTACTGTTGTCACATCTTCCTTTATGCCTCGAGCAACAGCCGCAAAATGTCCACGTGGCCATGCTGAGCTGCAACATGGAGACGAGTTGACAAGCAACAACTGTAATACACCTCTGAGTGGTCATACTGAGCCGCGACCATCAAGGGGGCTGCACCTGCCGCATTGGGGCTCAGCTCCAGCCTTGAGAAACATCCGAACCATCAGCAAACAAAGCTGCTGCTATATCTTGCTTGCGTCAGCCTCGAGCAACAACTGCACCGCAGTGGCCATTGAAAGCTGCAACCCACAGAGTCGAGTCATTTTTCCTTGTCACGTGTTTGTTTACTCCACCTTTGAGGAACAAACGCAGCACTTCTAAGTGGCCATTCAGTGCTGCAAAAAATCAAGGCGGTTGCCCCATCTTCCCTTGCTGCTTTCTCGTCAGCTCCGGCCTCGAGCAACAACCACAGCACTTCAAAGTTACTGTACCCTGGCCAGACTGAGCCGCAGCAAAGGCGGTTGCCCCATCTGCCGTTGCCGAATATCTGTCAGCTCCAGCTTCAAGCAACAACTGCACCACCTCCAAGTGGCTCTGCCCTGCCGCAAGATACGGAGGTGATACAATGTGATAATTATATTTGTAATTATCAATTCACTCTCTACACCTCCCTCATTATCCAGGCGGTTTCTGAAGCAAACTTGTCACTTCGCCTTTTCGACTGTTCTCACATGCAAGGTGTAGTTCCTCTCAAACGCACTAGGCGTCCAGGAATACCAATTGCATGGTAGCTGTCATATCGGCATTTCATCCTGTAACTCGCCCAGTCCATCACTCAAGAGTCTTTGTCGAACTCTTGAGTACCCAACGGGCCAATAGTCTTCAAAACCCAAACGGGCTTTTCAACCTCCACCATGCACCCCAACTCCTCCTCATGAAGCTGGGTGACAGTGACACCTGAGAGTGTATGAAAACTGGCTTCAAATTAAGCATCTCAGTGCACTCCACCGAAGATGCGTGAAACATGTAAGAGCCAAAACAGCTTGAGCCAGTGTCGTCCTCTCTCTCCCTCTCTCTCTCTCTCTTTCCCTCTGTGTGTGCATGCGCATGCTAAAGCACGCATTTTGCCAAGCACGGTGGCAGTCGAAGGCTGCGCCAGCCTGAAGAAGCACAGAAGCGGTTGGATATGCAGCAGAACCTGCTTCAGCCGTCATTTCCCAGCGAAGTTTGGGAGAGAAGGCATCTATAGCTTCTTCCAGAAAATCAACTCAAAAGCAAGATTATGGTTGCTGACCCCGTCCCCACCCCCATCTGGACTCCGGCCCCTGACTTGAGTGCAGTAATCAACCCCATGGCCCTCCATCACCGGCGAGCCACTCGTAGATGCAAATGGCCGCGGCATGCGCCACATTGAGCGAAGCTCCCCGCACCTGGAGGCATGGGACAAACTTGGTCCATCCCCGCTGGGCACATTGGACAATGATGGAAAATGGTTTGGAACGTGGACCAATGCAACATGAACATGGCAAAGTAGAATCGGACCAAAGGAGCCTCGTTGTAGCCTCGTATGTTACGGTGGTGTGTGTTCTGTCTTGGACCCGTCATGCTCCATGAGATCCTGGGAACTATGTCCGTGGACTGTTCCTCACTAACGGCAGCTATCGGAAGAAAGGGCACCTGCACAAGCTGTGCGCCAAGTGCAGTTCGACGGGAAAACCATCCAATCAAATGTGCGATTCAGGTAGCATATACAGTGTGTATATATATATATACTGTATATACCTAATATGTACACCTGGAACCCACTTGACCCCTGTTTTGATAGAAAACTAATATGTTCGGTGGTTGGTAGTCCAAAATGGACGTCACTCAGGTTCTAGCTATATTATATATATATATATATACAAGTGTGTGTGTGTCCGCCCCTTCTTGATTATTCCTATGGTCCAACTGAGTGCCAAGGCACCAGTGTCATCCCGACCGCCACTCTGGAGTGGACACCCCAAACGAGATCACCGGAGTGGGTCCCAGCGGTGCAGCGGTGCCTGGGGCACTCGGAGGAAGTCGTTGCAGCAGCGTAGGACTTCTTCAGAGACACCTGCGGAATGCGCGGAATGGCTCCATCGAAAGCCGCAGGATGGAGGGATCCTGCTAATCGAAGGATGGAGGGATCTGCATTGTGGAGTCAAAGGAGTGAGGTTGTGCTTTCCATTTTGTAGCTATGACATGCACAGTGGGCCCCAAGGATCCCCAAGGCGTCTACAACATCTCATTCCTGCCAAAACTCGGAACAGTGGGCCAGGGCGGCGTCCCTCACTACAAAACGGCACACTTCCACAGGGGTAGGAAGGGATCTGACTAAGAAATCTAAGAAATGACTTACAAGCGCACCGAAAAAGTACCAACATGCATGCATTGCAACTTTTTGCCCAGGACAAATCTCAAAAGGATTCAAAGGGCATAACAAACATCTCAGGCCCATTCTGCCTAAAAACACCTTATAACCGGAATACCCAGAACAGCCTCCACAGTCACATCTTTGTAGATCAGCATGCTGTTGGTACCTATCGGTTTACCCCAATTTACCCCCCTACCACATGCAAACCCCAACTCACCCAGAAAAGATTGATATAACAGCATGGTCTAGCGCAGGGATCGAGCTGTCCCATTCTGTAGAGTCAATGAAAGCGGATCGCGATGTGTAAAGCAAATGCTTCTGAGATGTTCCGAGAAGTTGTCCTTCCCATCTTTCCTTTGGGAGAGCAGGGGATCGACTTGGCCACGCCCAAACCTGACCAGTTAGGACCCGCCATGACCCGCTGACCCTCGAGTTTCTTTGTTTGCACCGTGTTGGAACTTTGAGACAGATGCATCTGTCGGGATGGCTGCACACAAACGGTCTTGAGGATAAGCCATCTACCCCCAAAAAGCCCGCCCGCACACGGAGAACGTACGCCTCGCTCCTCATTGCCTACCACCAGTGCCCAGCCTCAGAAATCCGTTGGCCCTTATCCGTTGGCTGTCAAATTTATTGAACAATGGTTTCAACGACTGCTCCTTGTAAGAATCCCAGGCATTTTGATCCGGAGCCTATAGGTGTTATGAATTCAAGTTATGGAATTCCGCCAGGGGCTCAGCCCAACTCCGCAGAATGTATTGCGCTTGTCGTCAGTTCTTGGCACCCACACCCACTGCCCGGGCCACCGGAAAGCCATCCATTCATCGCGTAGCTGCTTCTAAGGCCCATGCGTGGGTCAGGATGTGGTGATACCATTCTTGGATGTGATTCCTGCAACGGTTTCAGTGATCTTTCGGCGATAGTGAAGTGCAGGAAAAAAGAAATGGCAGCAGGAGCAGTAGCAGTAGCAGTGGTAGAAGCAAGCGGAGCAGTACACAGCAGTAAGTCGTGGTCGTGCCAGTGGCAGTCGTGGCGGCTGTTGTTCTTAGTAATTATAAGTATAATATATAGAATGCAGTCATTGTCGTGGTAAAGGTAGTGGCAGTGGTAGTAGTGGTGGTGGTAGTAGTGATAGTGGTAGTGGTAGTGGTAGTGGTAGGGGTAGGGGTAGGGGTAGTGGTAGTGGTAGTGGTAGTGGTAGTGGTGGTAGTAGTAGTAGTAGTGGTGGTAGTAGTAGTAGTAGACACCACAGTAGGAGTTTTCCTCGCAATGCAAGCGGCAAATCCATTCGGCATTTCTGGGGCCACGTGTGTTTCATCGTTCATCATTCTACTTGTCCCAACTGTAGTTGGCTGGTGGCCCTGCAGGCGCCTCCGCAGCATACACACCTCAGTGCCACTATGCGCCCCTCATTCCTAAGATTTCCTAAGTGTTAAATGATGTTAAATGGAATGGTAAATGCATCATCCATGTTCAAAATGCTTTTTACAATTATTTGCACCGTCAATTTTTGCGTCAACTTGGCATCTCAAAATCACGGAGCCGTGGGTCCATCCCCAAAAGCTCCCCTTGAATCATGCGTGCCAGGCAGGCATCTGGTGCTTATATGTGTTTATAGGGCTCAGAAACTGAGCACCAACCAAACTGACTGGCAGAACGAACACACGTGGGAACACCCATCGATTCTATTGGGGGCGTCTCTGCTCTTGTGACTTGTCGATCGCTCTTTACGCGCTCTTTTCGCGGGAGCTTGCAACCAAGTGAAGCTGCTGTCATCATCGAAGTGCTTGAAACGAGTCTCCCGCTCCAGATGGACAAAAGCAGGGTCTCGGCCCACAAACGCAGGAGCCGCGTTCCAGTAACGAGGCTCACGGCTTTTCCGTCGGCTGCGCTGATCCGCCAAGTGTTTGAGGTGCTTGTGCAAGAGAAAGTAAGGGCTGCAGCTTTGGTCAGTTGAATACCTGGGAGCCAACAACTGTATGGAAGAGAGGAGGTTCAGGAGATTGCCATCACAAGCTTACATTCTCAGTTGAACATGTTGAACACATCTAATGCCATGGGAAACTACAAAAGTCTTCTTGAGCGAATGTCATGAATGCCAGTTGAAGTAGCAGCTGTGTATTTCAAGCTCCCGCTTCATCTCCCAGAGCTGCTGCGGATGCTCTTGCGCAAAGTCGCGCAGGTAGTTGTAAAGGGTGGAGCTTGTGCAGTCTGCATCATCACAAACTTGGCTCTCCTTGCTACACTGAAACATTAGAGTTACAGGGCATCCTAACCACACTATATAATGACAAATCAAGACTTCGCACCAAATCAACTTCAGAAAATACTGCTTGCGAAAGATCAGTCACTGGCCACTTGATGGAGAACTTATGCCATGGCAAGTCATCGGCAAAGGCCACCTCGTATTCGTCACTCAGGATCACCGGAATGCAGCCAGCATAAAAGCTCTCGTAGAGGTGGTTGGTCCATGGACTTGTCCCTGACCAGCCACATCAGCAGCAATCTAATTACTCATTCCGTCAGGTGCCAAACTGGTCGGAAGGTTTGGAACATGATGCTGATATGAGGGGCCTGTTGCAAAAAGTTCCAAAAAAGCATATCTTTGGATGCAGTTGGCAACTAGTTTTCAGCAAGATCATTCCATTTCTAGTCACAAGCTTACAGCTCATACTTCCACTGCTGTCCCAGGACCTTCATAGGAGTGGGCCAAACACTAAACGTAATGATCAAGTTGATGTGTCTGCCGTATGCCGTATGCCAAACAGTTTCATCGTGATCATCCCGCAGGCTTTCTAGAACTCATGGCAGCGTTTGGCAAATCAAATATCCGTCTGCGAGGCTGACTTTGCCTGTGCAATCCAAGTGCATTTCTAGTTCGGCCCAGGTCGTTGGGTCTCTTTGGCCCAGATGTACAGTGATTTTCAGATGCCGACGGGTTGGGTGGTCTGGTCTACGACACACCGGACCAAAACAGTGGCTGAAAACCCGAAGCAACGGTTGGCGCTACCCAAGTCTTCGTGGGTTTAGGAGGTCACCTGGTTTCGCCTGGTGCAAAGAGTCGTGCGTCTGGTGCTTGTCGCATCCACTTGGACGTTGTGCCAAATGTGCCTCCGTTGCCTTCCAGAGGTTGCAGGTTCCTATCCGGGGTTACCAAACCCTTGAAGGGTCTCCTACGGTCACACTGACCCGCATTGGATGTTCATGATGTTCACATCCAAGCTCCAAGGGAGCAGAACATGAATATAGAGTAATCATATAAACTATATACTCATTTGCCAATCAAATTATGCATCCCCATCAATTCCCTCATGTTGGATCACGCAAGCCTGCTGGAACCAAGCAGAAGTGGCTGTCACCTTTGCGCTCCGGGTAGTCCCCTACAAAGCCACCAATGTCAACCTAAGGGGGCGTGCCGTGTCGCCGAATTTGCCCAGGTTCGAGGGCTATGGCGTGGGCTCTTTGAAGTAGGCTATAACTCAAAAATGCTTCACTCACAAGATGCCATATCGCCACGTCGCTTCCATGGTGCTTGTCCTCTAACCTCCACGAACTAGCATAGCATCATTGTAAGCCTAGCCTAATGATCGGTCTTACTACTCCGGCCCAGTGACTCCCTCATCCAAACCTCGCGCTCGGCCCAGTTGCATCAAAGCCCCACGCGCCGCGCAGTGGCTATAAGCACCATGCAGCTCTGGTGCTCTGCCATGGAAGGTCATGAGCAGGCGTCGTTCCGCTGAGCGCTTGTTGTGGCTCTTCATGTACTGGATGCGCGCATAGTCCTGAGTGCCGTCGGAGACACAAAAACACATGTTTGAAGACAAATTAGATGTCTTTCAAGTCACACCTTACTGCCTTGTCAGGAGTATATGGTAATTATTGTGTGAGTGGCTTTCAGTCTTTAGGGCGCCCAGCTACAAGCAAATGTTGGTTCCCAAACTTGGGTGGATGCAGAAATCTCAGTTGTAGTTGGTGTTTGGCGTCCTTGTTGCGGTTGACGCTTTACATACGTTCGAGGCACGGTGTGCCCCGGGATCACCAAGTCCTTCCAACTGGAAAGGCATCGCTTCACGTCCACGTAGCGGCGCAAAGGCTCGTTCCAAGTGGGACAGCGGCTCTCCGGTGAGAGAAACACTGATTCGCTTCGAAGCAGGTCGTAACCTGGGATTTCGAGGACGAGGCAAACCGTTTAAACCCGCACATCTCCCCTGGTTTCTCGTCCCAGTGGGCGCCAGCCCAAATCCTTGGACCAAGTGGCTGTCCCAAATCCTTGGGCCTTGCCCGTCCGCAAACAGGAAGATGTGATCTGCACCCTCATAACGATGGAAGTAGCGGGAGGCCTTCAAGAAATCCATCATGGGGTCCCAAATGAAGTGGTTTGAGACGTTGTCCATGTTAAAGACCAACTCTTCGCTCACATTCTCGTTGAGCTTCACATAGACGCAAGTCGCATGAAGTGGGACATAGAACCAATCCGCCTCCTGGGGATCTGGCGTGTTGCAATTGTGCCGGAAATATTCATGGAGGAGCACTTCCGTACCCCATTGACCTTGCAAACACTCAAAGGTTCCACCATACAGTTGCTCCGGCAGCTCATAAACAAAGAAGCGTTGACCCAAGCAAATGTCTTTGCCATCCTGGGTGGCACATGCTTCATCATGCTTCGACCAGCAAAACATCCAATGCTTTCCAAAAACTAAAGAGCAAGTCTGCTCAAAATGAATTGTGGCCCAAAAGCAAGAACTGTGCACTGCCAAAAGCTACCGTATAAAAAAGGACATGTTGATTCATCCACTCTGACAGAGACCAGAATGACCACCCAAAGCCCTCAACACCTGAAGGTTCCCAACGGACCCCTTCGACATTCCAACTAATAGTCATTAGATGTCAGTAGACTACAGTACGTAGTAATTAAGAGTCTGATGGGACGCACCAAGCCCCGTTTCAAGGGGGGACGGTTGCACCGCAGCCACCGGACGGACCTCCCCCAATGCCACCGGACCATTCCCGGCCACGTCTCTGGACCAAGGCTTTGAAGGTCCAGGAACTTGGGATAAACGTAGGCCTGGGGAGTCACCGTCAGGCTGTTCATGGACCAGGGTGGACCGGTGCGACATGGTGTTACACAGGCCTATGGGGAGTGGTTCCTGTTGGAGGTGAGAAAGGGTGAGAAAGGGCTGGTCCGAGGATCTGAACTGCTGGTGCTTTTCAGCTGAGAGGTGTCTCAACATGTCTCTGTTCTGCGCTTCCTTGGAGTAAACGGACTGAACGGGACGATTTTGAGATGGTGCATCAAAATCTTGAAAATCAGTTCAAATAGTTGCGTTTTCAGCTTCGCGCTGTGGGGACTGAGCCTGGAGCAGGTTACGAAGGTAGGTAGTAGGTGTAAACTTGTTTCCCAGGGGTCATGATGGCACTCAACGAAACATGCTAAAACAACATCCAGTGGCGATGTCAGCGTTCCACTCCAGCATCAGCTGATGGAGCTGTTTTTTCCTCTGATCATCTGGAAGCTTCTCAAGAAGCCTCAGCTTGGCGGTAAATTGGTCATCTGCAGGACACATCACAGGCACACTCCCTCGGTTTTTTTGGCGAACCCCTTCCCGGTCATCAGTTGGCAGCTGGGGAATTTTTGCCTGCCCTCACATGTTTCATGCTTGCCCCATCAGTTTCACAACATTGTCTTTTCCACAGCATGCCACAACACTGTCATCGAAACTGTGTGACTAAATTGAGGCTGGGGGTGAGGAGAGCGGGGCATCAGGGCAACCATGATCGGTGTTGGTCCAAAAATCAAAAGTGTCGTCGCTGCCCCGACGTTACATGGTCATGAACATCGGTGTCAAAAGTTACGACGTGCGACTGTTTGGGGGGAATCGCTACTTGATTTTACTGTCAATCTGACTGGAGGGAACGTCCACTTTGTTCCCCCAACGGCACTGCGATCCACAAGCACAACACATGCAACCGGGTTTTCCGAATCAGTCAAACACAAAAGCAATGTTTAACTTGTTAACTCCCAAAAAAAAAACAAACGAACCCCTTATACTATTACTAATAAAAATACCAACATCTATGGTGCGGGGACGCAGTTTCAGGGGGAGATGTCTCCGGATTTCTCTCCATCGGCTCAAACAGACTGTGTGGCTCAGTCACTCATCCCTGAGCCGGTGGATTTGCAGCAGGAAGTCTCGAGCTGCGGTTCGGCCCTGTTCGGTCTCCACAGCCAGCAAACCTCATCAATTGCAAACAGGGGCAACAGGTCAACGCGTGGCCTTTCAAAAGGAGTTGTCTTTATATGTTTTTACTTGTCTTTCTACGAAACCATGGTGGCAGCCCTTGAAGGAGCTATGATCACTATATGTTTTCTGCACGATACTATTCATGGTTTTTGTTTGTATGATAGTGAGGCAATTTGTTTGCACATATGACTCATATGACATTATATAAATATTAATTGAACTCATGATTCATAACCACAGTATAGTAATTGCAATTCGTGCAGGTGTTGTCCATAATTGAACACCTGATACAAGAAAATGATTTACTACAAAATCGTTTCCTGACAATACAGGTGTCCGATGCGTCTCTGTCTGCAATCACACTCGCTGCAGTCCCATGATGTCTGATGTCTGAGTCAGTCATGGCGCAGTTCATCATGATCTCCAACACCGCGGCCGGGCAATGGTTCAAGGCCTCCTCCAGCTGCGGTTCAATCTGTGCATGGAAAATCTCCTGCAGAAAGTGCCTGTGGCTGAGAAGCCGGAGCTCGACGACGTCTCTCGACGTCAATGTCTTCGTAACGACAGGGGCAAGAACACAGGGCCTGGGCCACATCAGCCAGCCACATGCTCTAGGGATCTCTAGGGGCCATAGGGGTTTGGTTTTGCTAGGTGTTGTTTGATTGTTTTCTGATGTTAATGTTCCTTTTGTTTGCGTGGGTTTCTGATGGCCTCTGTTCAACCACCAATCAACCAAGTCTACGAATGGCACAATGTAACCTATGAACGCAAGTCCTTAAAACAGAAACACCTCGGGATGTTCCGATCGTTGCCTTCAGGTGGATGATGATGGCGAAAGGGCGAGACATTTGCCAACGAACGAGGTTGGCCCTCGGGCCGCCTGGTTTTACTTGACCACCCAAGACACCCCTCTCGAACATTGGACCCACTGGAGTCACAGAATACGACGATGTTCCTGGCACTCTATACACCTGGTAACGACCATCTACTAAGCAGGCTAAGCTTGCACTCCCAGGGGTGGAGATTCCAGGTTGCACATCTTTGACGTGGACGGTCAGAGCAGTAGAAGGTCCCCAAACGCCCAAGAAGTCCCAAGGCCTGGAGAGCTGCAAGTTGTCTCGGCCATATCTCTTCTGCCAGGTGCCCAGCGTGCTGAAGTACTCCGGTGCCAGCTCGGCCAGCTGCACGTCGCAGAACACCGGCGAGGGCGCATCAGGATCATATTTCCTGATGCATAGGGTCGGTGAAGATAAAGTTTCAGAATGGTTTTAAGGAAAGGGTTTGATCCCTGACACCCTCAAGCCCAATTGCTGGCCAACAGCAACGGCTTTGCTATGTTCAACGGTTTCAAGTGGACATGTCAGTTGGCACAAGTTTGAGGATTGCAGATTGAAGCTATTCGCAAGATTTGCCGACATTGCACAAGGCGGTTGTCAGTGGAGTGGAAAGGCAGCTTTTGGTTTTTGGCGCAAAAAATTGATGTTTAAACTTTGGAGGTTTTAGTGATAAGTGATACCAATGGTAGACTCAACTTGCCTAGAAGGGAGCGTCCGCCGCTGCCAGAGTGGATCAATGTCTTGATCTGGTTTGTGCTGACGCTCAACTCACTGAAAACAGCTAATTGCAATTTTTTGGAATACAATATACATCAATATACGACATCACTTTGTCGGCTCTTCTGCCTTCATAGATGGTGTCAGCACAATCCTCACAAGGGTGTCGTGTCGCATTTGTGTGAATTATGTGCTTTATGTTATTGTCATGAAATTACAATGATTGACACATTACATGTATTGAATCGCTGGCAGCTGTTCCCGCAAAAGGATGCAAAAGGCACAACAAGGGCTAGATGCTGATTGTAAGTCGCACCTTCGCATAAATGACAACCTACTTCGCTGTCGGCGTGGGCACACTGGTCGCCCAAAAGGTCCAATGTCTCCAATGATGACCTGATTTCATCAGCCTGCTTCCCATGGTGTCTACACGTGCCGAGCATCGTTGATGGACACAGCTCGTGGGTGCAGTCCGGGAGAAACAAGGCCCCAGTAGGAGAGGCCAGGGGAAAAAGCCAGAGTGCCATGGCGAAGGTGTTGGGCAGTGCATGGCCATGTCCCAGTTACAAGCGCAGGTCTGGGATGTCGTGGGGAAGTGAACACTACATTCTTCAACGTTCCTGCAAACATCTTTCAACAATCCAAGCGCTGATGTAATTTCCGCAAGGTTGCTCGTTGGACAGTGAGAAGTCTAATGGATCAGCTGGTGTTGATGCTGGTATATGCTGGCATTCAATGTGTCAGCTTCAAGAGGGAAGGTATGCCGTCTAAAGTATAGACTGCATCTTTGGCGCACTGTGCAGCTCTTGATTTCCGCATCCCGCCTGTGGCTGCACCGAGGTAACAAGCGGCTCACTTGACTTGAGCTGATTAACAACATTTAACTGCCCAATTAATTAAGTAGGTGCCCAAACCATGTTTTATTAAAGCACTCATGTCCATCAAAGTGTAAGTGTAAACGCTGAGGTCGGGGCAAATCCCAAGGGTTTGCAGCTCTTTGAGTGATGTCGGCAGGTCTTCCGCCAAGAAATACTCCGCATAGTAGAGCCTTCAGGGTCCCGTCTTGATGATGTCAACTGCCGATCCTAGCAGCGACTACAGCTATCAGCGACTACAGCGATGGGTCCAATGTGGGTTGACAGGGCTTGGTTCCAGGCCAGCCCTGCGATGCATGGCACGCTCGGCCATTCAAACCTGAAGCTTGAGAGTTGGGCCAACTGCGGGGCAATATTGATGGGTCAAGATTGTTCTTTAGATTTCTTTAGTGCCATCTCGAAAAATTTTAGAGTTCAAGATTTGAACAATCAGCGTTAATGAGTGCAACTACAGTTTCATAGTTTAAAAAAAGGTAAACATCCGGATATCACGCAGCACATTTATGATCATTTATATAAATTCCGCTCATCATGCTATCAGTTGAACAAAACAAAACCGAGCCGCGGGCAGTTGAAGGTGGGGCGTGACAAAATGATGGACTTGATGCCCAAAAGTACGGCACTCCTGCAACTGACCACCGTTCGGTGCTGGTGATGTTTGCAATTTCAACGCGATGATGTTAGATCGCACACATACTACTGCAGCCTCGAAGGAAGGAACCCCCTCCATTCTGCCACAAACCACCCACTCCGCAAGGTATAGACAAGGTGCAACAATTCTCTGGCGACGGGTGATATTTCAACTGGACTGATGAATTGTTTGATACCCACTTTGACCACTCCATTACACGCTGTAAGGGTCCTGACAACCTGGCCAAGATTCTGCGCAGACCTCATCCCAACCCCCTCTTGTGAAGGAGCTGGTCGGGTATCAAATATCATGAACTGGTACTGAGAGTGCTTGTAGAAATGCAACGGATTTATGTTACAACATTATGAAGATTGACTTGGTTCCGGACCCTTCTAGGGCGCCGACACCAGCCCATCAAGCACCAAGAAGGGTGGGGGCATCATGTATAATTCCGAAGACCTGGAAGACGTAAAATGAATACAGCGTTCGCATCCCGCCATTGCAAACTGACTGTGCTGGGCGCAACTCAAAATTGGCCTGGGCCATGTAACTGCATAGCGCACTGGCTCGCCCCAAGCGAGGTCCTACATACACACCACTGCTCAGAATGTTCAATGGACATTGGTCCAAAATCGGGATAGTACCCGGTCCAGGGCCTTGTGACGCACGTGTTACGGTACGTTTTGCACTCTTAGTTTTTGCCTTTATTGTATCAATGTAGTGACATGTCCCATTGCCATGTTCGCCCGGTCCATGCAGAACTCGTCCACCAGGTTTGGCGCCAACAAGAAAAGGTCTCCACTGCACGTCTCACACACCTGAAACCGTGCACCAGATCAAAACATCCGCGCAGAAAATCCAAACAAACGCGGCCGCCTTTTGCGCCAGCATCATTAGTTCTGCTGAAGCGCCTACCAAAAAATAACAGTTCCATGCACATGCTGCAACCCACTTGTTGGGATTTAAAAGAAAAACCGGTAGCCACCTGCGGGCATTCTTGTTTTCAAGTTGCGTGACCAACGACCGCCCCATTCAGCCTTGCATGATTACTATGGACACGACCGCGGTAGATGCCGAACCTGCGGAAACCAAACGTGACAAGTTGCAAGTTGCCACAGTTCGCAACATGACGAACGCGGACCAACGCGTGACTTCACGACACCCCCACACCTTGGGCCTTCAAACGTTCCAAACAATCTTTGCCGTAATGCCTCTGGACCCAAACAAAATCTCACACGCATCACTCCATCACAAACAAAATGTGGAAAATTTTGCGACCAGGACCACCAGTGGAAAAACAGGAGCGCGGCAATAGTCGACAGAACCCGAGAGCAGGGCACGGCCACAATGGACTGCAAGCGCCGCAGCTGTTCACGTCTGTCTGCTTTGGCCTTTGCTCTATGCAAATGAAACAACGGTGGGCCATGACTGTGTGCCAAAAAAGGGCCATAGTCCAAAGCCCATGGTTCCTTCCAGGACTTCTCTAAATTCCGACATGGGCCCCGGGTATGCCATTCATTATTATGGCAAGGCGGAAGGCCCAACAAAACGCCGAATTCCGGAATTGTTTGTCTCCATGACTCTTGCCAGGGTTCCGGACGAGTTTTCGGATCTGTTCCCCGTATTGGCCTCCCATGGTGTGTCACAATATGTCACAATCATTGTCACACTCTTGCTATTCTACACGAGGTTTTTGCCCAAACATGTGTTGCTGCTAAGTACCCTTTGTGTTCCTGCTTTGCACACCAACAACCATTGCATTCCTGCTTGCAAGCCAGCTGCGTTGATTTCGGTGCTCTTTGACTCGGTACAAGACCTCGGCTGTAGTTGGTTTTCGCTGATATTTCCTTCAGCAACTGAAATTGAAGACTGGCACCTTCGCCTGCTGTGGTGGCACGTGCGCAAGTTAAAACTGAAGTTGTGATAGCGACGATGGGTTGATCATCTGCTGTCAGCCCTGCCGTCGGGTTGATGCGCGTGTACGCTGCACGGTTAAATGCCGTCGCAAACAACGCGCGCGACGACGCCAATCAGAATAACGACCCCCGGGAACATTGCCAAGCCAAACGTGTTTTCTCGTGTGGCGGGCCGGTGCGAAGCTTTAATTACTTCGAGCGACCCCCACCATGACATTCCCCCATGTTGCTCCAGGCTGTTGCACCGATTCGGTGGCTGAAAACGGCCAAGCGTAGCATAAAGATCCGCTGTCATGACCACAACCAAGCGCATCCAAGGCTAGCACTAACAGCAAAAAACAGGGAGGGTTGGGAAGGATTCAACCTGAAACATAACAAGTTCACCAAAGAGCCTTAGCAAAACACAGGGCACTGGATGTTTGTCAGCAACTATTCATGCCTCATCCACGTGCCACGTGTTCCGCACTTCCCACGCTCTCACAACGGCATCTTGCAACCGTCTCAGCGCAGCTGTGCCAAAAAGGTAGGATCACCAATGCATTGCACTGGTTCTGTCCGAGCTTTGAACCGCCAGCCGGCACTCCGGTAAAGAATGCTCGAACACATCCACCACTTTTTGGTTATGCCTCACGCAGAGCTCACAACAATTACCCGCCGTTGGTGGAAGGATGCGGAAGGCAAGCCAGTCTGTCACCAATACGAAGACCCTGGCATAGCTGCAAGCAACCCACTGAAGATCAAAGCTGCCTTGCCTCTGCTTGAAAGTCGGTTCGGAGGCGTGTTGACTTCACCAAGCGACCACCTAAAGCCCGGCAACGGCAACGGGTAGTGCAACAAAGTCCCATCCCTAGCCACCAGGACAAACAAGTCTTGTTTGGCCACGTTCGTCTGCTCTTGCGCATGTTTACATGGCAGATTTTTTTTCAGCACGGAGGGACGCAACAGGGCGCTAACTCTAACACTGAGATGTTCTGAGCGTCTTCCCCTGCCAAACTGCACCAGTTTCCAGCGACATCGGAAGTTTCAATACGAGAGTCTTCATCAACGAATGACCAAGGCGCCCATCCTAACTCCAGCAGTATAGATGGAATCGGCGAAATGGCCTGGTATCCCAGAGAATGTTTCCCGTTTTTCGTTGGATTCGGTCACGTTCAAGCAGCTGTGCCTTTCCCAAACGCCCCAATTGCGCAATGCGAGGCAGCGGCAATTTCTGGGACTCCGCGGGTGAACACTGCAGTCCTTTCAACTACTCGTTGGCGAACATCCTGCCCAAGTACCTGTACAACCATCAATGTAAAACTTCGCTGGTGTTTCATTTGAGGAGGCACAAGGGGCTAGCAGTGCAGATTTTTCGATACCCACATTGAGTTTCATGCGAACGCTAGTTCCCCAACACATCGGTGGTTGCAGCGCGCTCCTCACTGTGCTTAATGCACATTGCCAGGTCATCCACATAACCGTTTTACCATGTGAAGTTTGTTTCAATTTATGCCCTTTAGATATATCTACGTCTCTCCCTGCACCACTTTGTTTGGCAGGGTGTTGTTATTGGCCTTGTACATTCCAGGCAAGTTGCCCCTCAGATTTTCTAGGTTATACTGAACAAGATCTTTAATGACCTACAAGAAAGAAACCACCATACTATAAAATGGCAAGGTTTGACCCTTGACCTTCCCAGGGTCCATAAAACTGTTGCCAGAAGCTGCCCCAAACACTTGCCACGTCTCTTGGACCCTTGTGGATCATTTGGGTGTATCCCCGGCAAGCATACAAGCACGAGGAATGATCTAAACCTATGAAAACAGTATACGCAAGCCGCAGCATCAGTGTCAACAACCACCATACGATAAAATTGCAAAGCATAACCATCCAAACCCCTTGGGTAATTTGGTTTTATTTTAGGAAAACCTCCATCCACGACTTCTGTTTGCAGGCGTTTGTTATTGATCTTCCTAGGTTATACCCTGGTACGCCTAAAACTGGCCCAAAATGCAAAAACCACCACCATACTGTAAAACGGTTGTGCCCCAAAGACTTGCCAAGCCTTTAGGACCCTTCTGGATCATTTGGGTAGCTTCCAGGCAGGCCTAGCAGGCAACAAACACAAAGGCAAAAGGGCAACAACAAGCTTGCGTGCGTTTCCAGCTGTTTGTTGCCCTTGTGCTTTTGTGTTTGTTGCCTGCTAGGCCTGCCAGGAATACACCCAAACGACCCTTATCCAAGAGACTGGGCAAACCTTTTGGGCACAACTTCTGGCAACAGTATTTTTCCTTGCCATTTTATAGTATGGTGGTTTCTGGCCAAACCCGGGAAGGCTTGAAGTTTGACCCTGATGCTGAAGTGTGCTTATACAATACTATTCTCTACATGGTTGGATCTCTCACCGCTTGTGTTTCCAGCTGCTTGTTGTTGCCCTGCCTAATGGTTCCTTTTTTTTGTTCATGAAAATTTATCCAAAAAATTGTTTGTCCCAAATTTGAATTCAATCACAAAGCCATACAGTTTTTGAACAACAAAGCCCACAATACATCTGGATTCCACAGCCCCAAATCAACCACCATCCTGGAAACAATATGTTTTCTATGAAAACAGGGGGTGCATCCACCAAAAGGGTTGGTTTTATAGAGGGGGCAGTCGGAGGCGGAGCCGACGAAGCAAGAGGAACCGGAATAGGCGGCTGGGGTGGGACAAGTCTGGCGAATGCGGGACTGTTGTGAACACTCGGCTGGAAAATGGCCCTGACTGTGATGCCATCATGGCTGCACCTGTGTCCAAGGTGCTCAACAGTTCTGTGTGCCATGCTGTGTGTACAGCAGCTGTGGCTTGGCGTTGCCAGCCTCGTTGCATAGTGTGTGGAGTTCGCATGCCCTGCTGGAGTGCCGGAAGCGGGGGTGGTTCCCAGCCTTGCTAGTGTAGTTGGTCAGCTGCGCGGCTGCAGACGGTGAGTCAAATCTGGCGCTTGTTGCTCGAGGGTGGGCTAAGCATCGGCCCAAGATGCCGGCCCAAGATGCCCAGTATGCGGCATGTGCTAGGCAAGTGGCGGATGTCAGACCCAAACCGCCTTGGTGAAGAGGCAGGTGCGCGCGGGCAAGTGCTGCTGCGGGGAGCGTGCTGGTTTGGAGCAGCTCGGTGAGGGTACAAAAGTGGCTGTTGTGGGCGGTGGTAAATTTCGCAGTAAGTAGTTGGCACGGGGGCTAGCACAAAACAAGAGGAGCAGCCAGGAGGCTTGCACGTCTTCAAGTGCGGGGATCTTGTCGAGAAATTCCGAGTGTTGAGCCGAAATTTGTTGCAACTGTGTTTGGATGTAAGCTGGGTGCCCGATGGGGACGCCGAGAACGCGGAGCCCTTGGACGTTTGGCGGGGATGAATGGTTGCCGACCCAAACTTCTGGACCAAGGTCACTGATATTGGGTGGGGCCTGGCCGGCCGCATTCCAAACGCGGGTTTTGCCGTGGTTGAGGTGCACATGGGCATGGCGAGACAAATGGTGCTGCAATAAGTCCAGGACAGGGCGCACTCGGTGGGGTGAGACAACTGCATAGACAAATTCCGCCAGGGGTATCCTTGCTTCAGCCAGCAAAGCGTTTGCATCCATACATTTTGGAAAGTGCACCATTTGGGCGGCGCAGGCGCTGGGCGGCTAAGAAGCCCACAGCCCCTAACAACGAACTTCGCTCGCATAACTAACTTCAGCCTAGCTTATTGTGGTTTTCATGAATTTCATGACAAAACATTCTTACCCACTGGTTGGAACAGTTTGGTTAAATTTGGCCCTAAATCGGCACTAGTTGTAAATTCGATGGGTTCCAAGTCACTCCAGGTAGAGTGCCTGATCCGTCACATAAATGAACTGACCTGAGATTTGATGACCTCTTCACATGCTGTTTAAAAAGTTTGTTCATACATTTTCCAATTTTGCTCATTTTCCCGTTGATATTTGCATGCTTGGACATTGTGTTGTCATGTTTGTGCAATTCAAATCTTTCTCAGCAAAAGCAACTCCGATCTAAGACCCATCTGATCCGTGGTGTCTTGCTGATAGGTAGTGATGCTGATTTGGCAGTTTGTGACATACTCCTGCTTAGATTGAACAAATAAGTGTGGGCCGATGGGTTGCTGAAGTTGGGCCCTGCTCACGCTCAAGGGCCCGACTTCAACTGAAAAAGGATACAGGGCCAAGGTCCAGTCAGGTCAATCGACATTGGACAGGGGATTGATGATCGGGTTCTCTTTCTTGGACCATGCTGTCATCGCAAACTGCCGTGCCCACTGGGAGTGTGGCTCAACGATATGCACAGCAGAAAATGGATGACGAAAGGCCTGAACTTTTCTGAAGCTTTGAAGTCTTCAGAGGTGGATGAAGACGAGGACCTCTGCCTCTCTTGGCCGCCGCTGCCTGAGGGAACGTGTCATGCACTGATCCATCTGCAATTGGACCCCCTCAGGGAAGGAGGGACAGTTTGGCGCAGTTTGGCACGTGCACGTCTCATACAGGCAGGAACACAACCCAAAGAACTTACCATTCTCCTGTTGCACGTCTCCTCCGGAACGAAACACCCTGGCGATCACCTCTGGGCATCACATCCAGAGGCAGCCTCTCTGGCCAGCCCTTCAGCCGACTCAGGCAGCCTCTCTGGCAGCCAGCCCTCTAGTGCACTTACATCATTCTATCTCTACTTGTTTGGATTAAACATCCTAATGGCTTACCTCATCCACACACAACTATCACTCGAAGTCCAAGACTAAGCTGGAGACGTGGAAGGTTCGCAATTCAACCACAAAACCAAAGGAAGGTGAAATGGTTCTGCGGGGCACTTTCGGCAGATCCGGCAGGGGAACGTCACGCGCGCCAATCCTACTATACAGGATCACATTTTGATGGCACACAGGAATCGAGACAATACATGGCATATAGATACTTTTTGATTAAAATAATCGAGGATCTGAAAGGGCCATGTGTGCCATCATAGTGGTCAGTTGATGCTTGGGGGGATCGGCCTTGTAATCTACTAGAGCCGTTTGGCTGGTGTGCCATCTTATTATTTGTTCCAGGCCTTAAGGGTGTTGTACTCTGTTTGCTGGTCTCTCTCTCTCTCTGTCTCTCTCTCTTCCTGCGTTAGTGCATATCATTTCCTCACGTGTGGTGTGCCATCTTAGCGTTCCTATGTTCAATGCATACCGCTCTTTCCTCGCGCCCTTTCAACTGCCTTTGTCCTTGCCTTTCTATTTAGTATGCTTTTCATGCCCTTTAGCCTGTGTGGACATACTTCAAGTATTTGCCAGGGGTTCCAGGACGTCCTTAGTTAGTCCTTTCCTGTCTGTATAGTGTCTTTCCTTTGCTCCTTCTCTTGGACTTCATTCAATTTGTTGGATTCTAGTATGAGACTAGCTCACTCTCAATCTCACTCTCTCACTCTATCTCTAACTCCATCTCTCTCTCTCTCTCTGTGGTGTGCCATCTTAGCGTTCCTATGCTCAATGCATTTCATGATTCTCCCTTCCTCACTCCCTGCCTCTTCTTTCCCTTTTGCTTTGTGCCCTTCTCTGGCAGCAGGCCCACCATTGTTGTATATATATATATATATATATAATGGTCCTCTCCTTTCAATATGCTGTTCCTGCGTTAGTGCATATCATCTCCTCACTCCCTTCTTCCCCCTCCCTCCCTCTCTCCCTGCTTGCCTTCCTCCCTCTCCTTTCCTTTTTTTCTTTTGTGAATGCAACCCCAGCACTCTCAAAGAACCCGGCTCTCACAGCGGCCCTGTCATTGCTTCAGTGTATTGGTATGCCATTTTAGTGTTCCTATTGTCAAGGCTCAATTTTGCACTGTGCCTTATATTGCACAACCGATGTCCACAACCGATGTCCATTCAAAACAAACCTAATTACATCTAATCTAATCAAATCATCAAGCGCCTATATATATATATATATACGCTTTTGGGCAATGTTTCCGCAAGAAGTCTCTTGGTCAAAGTCCAGATTTCGTTTAATCAGCTTCCATCAGGACTGCCTCGGTGGCAGTAGGTGCTCTTGGTCGGGGATTGCTCCGCGTGTTAACGCGTGGTTTGCTTGATTCTGGCTGTGGGTACCCTGGGTACCCTTGTTTATATTTTCAGAGCTCGGGTGTACTGTTCTCTTGATTGAGTTTATCTTTTTCCCACCCACGTATATACTGTACAAACGCGTAGCGTGTGTCCAAGAGCATGCAAGTCATCGGTGGAAGATCCTAAAGCGCGACGCATCTCAACGTTTCTCTTGCTGGAACTTTCGCCTATTGCGGATAGACGGATAGACAGCGTGCTGTGAGAGCTGAAGGTGTGCCGAGTCTTTTAGTATATAGAGAGGACGAAAAGGAAGAACATCAAGATAAGAGTTAAGAGGAAATCCAACTTGGTCTGAGCTCATGACCCTGCCACAGGCCATTGTGCAGGGGAGGAATGGTCGGAGCCGTCGCATGGTGGTGGGGTCCAGCGGTCAGTACCACCATTGCCAGAAATCGAACATGTTTTCCCTTGGGAATCGTTTCACTGGGAATCAGTTAACAAGAAGCTTTTTAGTATGTCTTGCAAGCTTCTTAGTACTTAGTAACAAGAAGCTACTAGGTTGAAGGCCATCGATACTAGTAACAAGAAGCTGTTTAGGTCTTTGAAGCTTCTTAGCAACAAGAAGCTACTAGATTGAAGGCCATCGCTACTAGTAACAAGAAGCGTTTTAGGTCTTTGAAGCTTCTTAGTAACAAGAAGCTACTAGGTTGAAGGCCATCGCTACTCTTTGAAGCTTCTTAGTAACAAAGCTTTCTAGTAACCAATCCCAGAAATCGAGCATGTTATGTCCAGGAACAACAACATCCACATCGGACGAGGACGCAGGTCGCACGCAGGTCGTCACATGAAACAACTCTGGAGGTCGGGAAAACGGTTGGGTCAAGCCATCGGCTGGCGGAAGACTGGCCCGTCCGTGTGGCTGGAAGACTGGCCCGTCCCAAGTCGAGGAGCCAAGGTAGAAAAGAGCATTCGTCGGTGTGGCCAAAGGGGGCGCATTGGGGCTTTGCACTGCCCAAGAGATGTGGAATTGACGCTCAAGCGAATGCAACTCTTGAGCGAAGGTTCACACCAGCGGTAGCCAAAAGCCACAGTGAGACGCCAGGTTTGATTCTGCATGTTGAAAAGCACGACGCTCGCTGCCACGTTCGCGGCCACATTCGCGGCCAGGTTCGCTTCCGTGCGCGCTTGGTTGGCCCGCTTGGGCCTCTGGCCACTCGTGGGTCCGCCGGATCAGTGATCGTTGCGACCGCCTCATCGGTGGGGTCGCTCATCGGAGAAAGAGATGGTGGATAGTGGTCCAATAGCGATAGACACGATTTCCAACACTCTTTTTTGGACAGGGCGTTCACCTTTTAGAATCTTGTATATCTATTTGGGGCCCTTTAGAGGGAGTGTAGGCCAAGTGTTAAGCAGCGATTTGTTGTTCATCCGCAAAACAAAGTATCTCTGTAGTAGGAGAAAGCAGCTGTCCAGGGTATTGATTATGTTGACAATAGCAAAGAGTAAAACAGCATCTTGGCCAGTTGGACACAAATCGGTCACTTCTTCTTGTGCCCCAACTGGTCCAGCAAGTCTATAGTCAAGCAACTGCCTTCCTGCCTTCATTCTAAGGCTCCTCCGCTTCCAAACGCAACCTCCACACTTCGCGGCGACCTCAGCCCATCCGCTCTCAACCGGACTTCAGCGGCGACTTCCCGCTGAGGCGTGGCGCCAGCAGCGCCGCGTGGTCGACCCGTCGGCGACACCTGGGTCGTTGAAGACCGTCAACGCCCCGACGTGGCGCAGAGGAGCATGGCCCGCCGTGGCGACCCGCTGTACGCGACGGCACGGCGATGGACATTGGCAGGCAGGGCCGCGCGGCACAGCGATTGATCTTTTTCGCACCGCACGAATCCAAGTCGCTCAATCCAAATCCTTATCCAAGCGTTCCAGAAGGCAAAATGCCAAAAATGGGTGGCCCTGCAAAAGAAGGAGGGCTTTAATGCCAGAGTGATCTACACGGTAATTTTTTTCCTCACCAAGGTAATTAGACTCAGCCAGCCCAGAATCTTACTTCATGCAAAGGCCACCATCAGCCATCCATGCGTCTCATGCTTCTCACAAGCACGCGATGGCATGCTCTTGCTCTTCTGCCCGCAAAAAACGATGGCTCAGTATTGCGAAAGCTGAGAAAGAGGCATCATTGATGGTGTGTCTCGTAAACCAGTACCAACGAAACTACCCATCAGTTTCCAGGAGGTAGGAACGATGCTCAATACATTCGATACACATGTTCCGTATATAAAAATCCATCTTCCGTCCAAGGAACATGAAGGAAATGTTTCGGCCGTTCGGCCATGCCACGGCCCATCATCATGCCTGAAATCCATCTTCGCTCTACAAATTCGAAACTCAAGCTGGGTGGCCCCCAGCTGGGTCACTGTGCTACCGGTCTCGGTGATCTGATTTTTAAGACTCAAATGGATGATTGTTGGGGGGAGTCAACGGAGTGACTACGAGTGACTCCAGTTTTGTTTGGCTGCTTTCGTGTTGGTTGCCGCGGCGTAGCACTGTGTGAGCCCACTACAAATTGAAACTGCCAGCAGCTGGCGATGCCTTTGGAGTTGCACGGAATTTGCGTCCAAGTGCTTCTGCAGATTTGGCTGACCTATGAAACATGATACATGGAGTTTCTCTTGCAAATTCCACTCTGGCCAGATCCAGCTAAACTCAATACTCCAGAAAAATTATTGAGCAGCATTTTCCCATCACATGTATGCTGTCATCAACATTCTTGGCGACCATAGCTCGCTCCATGTTGCGAAACACGAACCACATGGTCCTCGTGGTGCAATCGCTCGAACGAACGGCCTGGAGCACATGAAATTGTTTGGAACGGCTCCAGGTGATTTTGTAAGAATTGAGAAGTGCATGAACCCTTACAACCCATTTATAAGGGCCTCAAGGCCACCCATTTCATAGTGGAAATGGGAATGGTGATAGAAGTGCCTCTTTCTCTTGGAAGATTCAACCATATTCAACCGATTTGACCACAGACTCACTCAACTGGTCTTGTCTATGACTCACTCAACTGGTCTTGTGCGCTGGTCTTCTCGTTCGGAGCCCACCAAGTGACCACACAGTCGAATTGGCGACTGCTCTCGGAGCCCGACACCCAGCCACCTACTTTTGCATGATAGCTGGGGGAAGTGCTCCAAGTGTGTGCTAAAAGAAGTGACATGAAAATTGGTACTGATAGACTCATATACATTGAATACAGGTCTATATATACCAAAGTAGAACACCTTCCACCAGGTCACCAGGCGATGTGATCAAAAATTGCTTTAAAGATCTTTAAAGTCTCCTCATTCTGAGACAACCCCACAAACATGATCCCCGCCCACAGAGCTTCTCTGTGGGCTCGTGGGGGGTTTGTGGGACTACCTGTCTGGCAACCAGATCTGGGAAAACCCAAACTCTGAACTCGCAGTCTCCCTCTTCCATCCTCTTCCTCCCGAAAACCACACCCGTCCGACCGGCCCAGCCTCAAACCTTTTCAAGGCGTTCTTTCACCATCGATGCCAGGGAGTCAGACGTCTTCTTGGCGTCGCCCAGCAACATCTCAGTGTTCTCCTCCACCAGCGGCTAGGTGACGTGTGGGCGTTTGAGACCACCAGTCAACTGAGTGCCCTCTTCCTCTTCCGACTTGACCGGAAAATGGTACCCCATGTTTGAGCCATAGCCATGTCTGTAAGAATAGATCCAGGATCTGGTACTTTTGAACCAGAGTAACCGGAACTCCAAAGGGATGGCTTTGGCACCCGAAGTGAAATGATCTGGCTTGGGGTTCTCACAAATTGTGTCGTGGGAGCGGCATGAAGTCAAGGCGACGGATCCTGCCCCTTCATGTTCAGAGGCCGGCTTCCGGCCCTCGTCAAACGGGCCCCACATGGCCAAATGTAAAACGGTTTGGTCAGCTTTCGTGGAATCGCAGGCATGACCAGAATAACCACTACCAGGTGATGCTCTTCCATCTCTTTCACTCTAATTACATGACAGCTGCCACATAAACGACTGGCAAACGATAGGAAATGCCTGAAACCTGCTGCCGAAACGACCAATCGCAGGAGCTTGCCAAAACTGCTGACGTCGAATCCGAAGGTCCTTGTAGAAGACCGGATTGTCAAGATCTGCGTAACCTGCCAGAAACGTTGGATCTCCCTACGTGTTGAAGGCTGAGGCGTATCCGCTGTATCCAAAATATGGTGAATCGGTGGAACAGCATTTCAACGAACTACATAGAGTGGGGGGGAAGTGAACCATGAAATTCCATTAAATTCCCAACCCTTGGTGGCAGATGCTCACCAGAATGAGGAGCAACAAAGGCTAATGCTGATGCTAAAAATAGCTTCCAGGCTTCCAGGTCAACTTTGCTCATGTTAATCCTGGTAAAGCATGGTAAAGCCAATTGTACTCTGTTCCCAAACTCAGGCCCCCAACTCAACCCCACAAAGCCAGGGCCCTGAAGAAACCATGTCCTCACTTTCACCCAGTGATTGCACAACCCACTTCAACCCACATACCGGGTGGCGCCTCCGCCCATGGAGCGCTTGCAGAAGATCACCTTCTTGGAACGCCAGACCTCGATCACCGGCATTCCCCAAATGGCGCAGCCTTCGATCTCCTGCCACGCCACAGCCGCCACGCCGATGGCGAGGAAAGAGCGCCAAAAAACCCGGCGCCCCCCCTCTTCGGAGGCGGATCGCTTCGAAGCACCGGTGTTGACCGGTGCAGGCAAACTGGCGAACATGAATGAAAGCATAAAACCTTGGGTCGGTTGGGTGAGGGGAACGATGACGGACTCAGGCTGCTTGCAAACACTCGGAATGGGATGTCAAAAATGCAAAACGAAGTGGGAAGCAAAACAAAAAACCTGGAAATTAAGTTAATTCAGCATCATGGAAAACCCTACGATTGCTAGTCTGCAGTCCTTCCTCAGTCCGTTCTCATTGTCCTTTGAAATGTGTGACACTGTTACCATCTGTTACCCCTGTAGCCCCGCCTTCGCCTCACATGTTCAATCAAGGCCAGGAGCCCCTAGTAGCGTCCTTGCTCCTAGTCATGTATTGCAAAACACCAGGACCTCTTTTCGTGACCGTTTCAGGCCCCATCCGGGCGAGCCCGTCACCCCATGAGGCTTCCCGGCTCTCCTGCGCTGCGGAGTTCACCACGTCGTTGGCGCCCACCACCAAGACCACGTCGTTGCTTTCCATGTCGGGGTTCCTCGAATGGAACGAAGAACCAACCGCCCCCGTTTGAGCGGACAGGTCAGTTGTTGTTGCGTGTTTTTTCCCGTTTGGGCGAGCTCTGTGCTGCATCATCCAAGACAAACTGGGTTGATGTATGTTGATGTATGTTGCTGTATCCGTTCAATTGGGTTTGATGCTGGCGATGACCTCCTTGCCGACACTACTTAACCTGGATCTAACATACTCCGACTGAAGCGCTGTAACTGCAACCCTTCAGGCAGCCATGCACGGTCGTCACCAGACCTCTCACTGCTCCGCCCACGACCAAGAACTCTTCCACAACACCAAAGCCCTAAGAAGTTTCCACATGCATGTACATCTTCGGGGTTCCACACCAAGAGCCCTCCCTATGAAATAGAAAAGGCCGGCTGGCCCCAGGTTGGGATCCTGAGGAGGGAATTCCTCCGAATGTCGACAATCGATTTATAAATATACCCTGAATGAAGCTAACCAAACCAAATCTCCAATTATCACTAAACCCTGATTGACCCAGATCAAGCTGCTTCTGTGTCCCTCTATATGCTGTTTCTATGCTAAAACAAGTGATACAAAAACACGTGATTGATTACTGGATTCCTTGGAAAAGGCAGCAAAAATGATATTTGATCTTAAATGATTCTAAATTGTAGAAGATTAAAATCAACTACTGTATATAAACAACATGTTTGATGGTGGATCAAAATCTATTTGAGCTTCGAGAGAGGGGGCGAGGTCCCCCTATCTATAAATCAGAGGTGAACATTACAGCTCCCCCCCAAGCTGTTTTTTCAATACGACGTCCTCCTCCACTGGTGTTCGTCTCCCCCAAAACCACCGATACGTCGGCCGAAGTACACTTCGTCCATCTCCAGGACCCACTCATGGGGCACTCCAGCCTGGCGACCGACCGGCAGACGGGCGGATCCAACGGACCGGCACAAGGTCCGGAGCCCAGATATATAAGAGGACGACAAGTCTGGAAGAACCACGGCCCAAAAACCTGTCTGGATAGCATGGTGACCGTGGTGAAATTGCCAATACAAGATGACCGTGGTGAATTTGCTGATAGAGTCTTTGAACCCCAAGCATGTACTTGTTCTTCATGACAAGCTCACACCTGCTCTGAGAAGATGTTCCATCATATGCCATCCACAGAATACTTCCACATGAAGCAGGCGCCTCCGCCAGAAGCACGTTCATCTGCCCGGGCATGCGGCCAGCCACAGGGTGGACTCCTCAGGTTAGGTCAGGTGATCCTCCAATAGGTGGTACCAAACATCCATTTTAAAATCATTTAACAAAAAATAACAAAATATAAAAAAATAACCAATATTCCAATCTATTATTGCTTCCAAGTCGCCAAACTTCAACTTGATGTTGTTGGCCCTCAACGTGGATGCCAACTCGCCCATCGCGGTCCTGTCGCCCGGTCGTGGGTCCTCCACTTTCCCCAGTCTGGCGGAGGTGGAGATCCGAAG